GGTTCGAACTTAATTAGAGAGATTCATGTCTCGAAATGATACAAACATTTTTGAATCTGCAGTAAGTTCTACAAAATAATGATTTTCTCGATTTGGCCTTCATCTTTTACTCGATATAATTAAAAGTAGTGAGTTAGTCTTCACTTAGCTGTTTTGGGCAGGAGCGACAATGAAAACCTTCGACAGAACAGGATCGACTCAGGATGAAATTGTTTTTCATTCGTATTCTATTTGCAACGCCGTTGTCGAAAATATAAGAGTTATGTTGTTGTGTCGCACAGATAGGTACCATCTTATACCACAGCTCCTCAAACGACTTTATAGTTTGACCTCGAAAGATTCCTTACACCTGTTATGGCGAAAACAATGTAGCATTCGGGAAGGCCTACTATGAACGTATGATTCTTGTCGTTGTTATTGTACGGCATATCTATGCTAATTATCCCCTCAGTCCAGTGTGGTCCGCTCTGTATGTACCCGGTTCCGACTCACAGAGGTCTTCATGGTCGCGAGTGCCTTTAGGCAATAATGCGCTGAGAAGACCTGGAATGGTTAGATAGCGATAAGGACAAATTTATTGAGCAAACAAAAAAAACAAAAACAAATTTACAACTTTGTTTTTACATTCAGAAGGCACTCTTTATACAATAGAAGGTGTGAATGATTCGTGGGTAGCGAAAGTTGTGCAATTTCAGCAGCACGTTCATAAAATTGACTCGCTTTCAAGTATTTTTCCATTTTTTCATACACCGAACCGAAGTTGTGATAGGAAACAATTAATTCAGGATGATTCGGAGGCAGAATCTTTTTTTGTAATTTCTAGATCGTTTTCGTAAAATTCAAGTGCTTTGGAGTAGTTCCCCATGTTGTTATACACTTGACCGATATTTTCGTAGGAGATAGCCAAATCGGAATGATCTGAAGGCAGAGTTTTTTCTTTATTCTGATGTGATTTTTCATAAAACTCAAGTACTTTCAAATAGTCGCCCATGTTGTTATACGCAAGACCAATATTATTGTAGATAGTAGCTAATGTTGGATGATCTTTCGAGAGAGTTTTCCGGTAGGTTTCAAGAGACTTTTCATAAAATAATGCCGCTTCTTTGTATAGTCCTTGGCCTCGTTTCACCCATCCAAGCTGATTATATATATATGCTTTATGACTGTCATCAGATGTTTGTTCTAGTAGTGCAATATACAATTTTTCAGCCTTGTAGAATTGATCTATCTTCAGCAGCAATGTACCCATTCGATACCATCCAGTGCTGCTGACCTCTTTTCGTATACGATCGGTTAATTCACGAAGCTGTTGGTCGTCATCTGAGGTAAGTTTAAGATCCACTTGATAAAGTGAATTATTGTTGTCAAGTTTTCGAATGTTACCTATTCGAAAAACGGTGTGCATGGAGAAGAAAAATTCCTCTTCTTGTGCGAAATCACTTAACTCTCGAATGGAGACAAAAAGAGTCGATGAGACCATTTGGATCTATGGTCATTTGAAAAACGATACCGACCATGCCACTGGTTTCTAGAGCATCTTTGACGAAAGTGAGCGAGACATCTCGATTTTTACTAGTGGATAAAAATTGTTGAAAGATATAAGTCCATCTTTGTTTTGAGCGAGTTGTTCGAAGTCGGATGTCGATAATCCTTGACCCCGATAAACTAAAAAGTTCATCCCATGATATTGACTGACTTGTTTCTGGTATAAATGTTCGATTTGTCGGTGAACATCACAAAGATAAAATCCCATTCTAATGATTACGTCACCATCAAGCGTTCGTAAGACACGATTGAGCATTTTGTATGTAAAGCATTGACGTGTATACCACCAAATAGCCAATGATGGACGATAAGTATGTTTAAATTCATCAATAAGTTTGAGTTCTTTGATATTACCTTGGTATTCTTGTTGGCAAAAGGTTACTAAGTGTCTTCGATGACTTCTTGATCATGTTCCATATCAAGGAGTATTTTCTTGAATATTTGAGGATACATGAAGGAAGGCTCTAGCTGATTGAAATTGTCGCTAGAACCTTCTTCATGAATACTGATAATACTGACCGTTATGTTATCTTGATTACGTTGTTGAACCGCCATTTGCAATGCTTGACATATGGGCTCGATTAATGTGTGAACACCTTTGATTTTTACCCAATTTTTGGTCCAATCTTCATGATGTCTTTTGTTGCCACAAAAGATGTATACGGCATCTAATTTTGGCATGTCATGAATATCTGATACGAAATGTTGTCTAAGTGTACCAAAGGAGATAACAAATGATATTTCTTCCTTGTTTTCATTGAAATGCTGAATACATTGTTCGGCTGTTGTGCAAGGATTAACTTGATTAATGACACCACGCAGTTATGCAAGCGTATGTTGACAATCTTCATTGGCCACATTAATATTTTCATCGATCCAGATGATCAAGTAATTTTCACCTATTCATCGTCTTCCATGTCCACTCATTTTAGATAAAACTTTTGTTGTCCGATTAGTAATCAAGTATGGTGAATAATAGATTGTTATGTGGAGAGAGATCACCTTTTCTATTCATATACTCTATGATTCCTCCTTTTTTAGATTTTTCTACGACATCAAATGTGAGCGGTTTTTTTTCTTGGATACTCAACCAAAAAAAGTTGACCTAGTTTCAATTAAAAGTATGTTTGCCAACAATGGATTGGAGAGAAAAAATTCAACAAGGTTATGAATTGTATTATTATTCTTTTCAACTTTTATTTGCTTTTCATCTACATACGAATCACTCGAACGCATATGCGTAGGATACGAACACTCATTGATGATTTACTTTTTTTTATCGATTCTTTCCGAAAAAAAGACTTTTTTTTCATTCTGACGCGAGCAAAAAGACAACTATGACATCATCAACACGACTTTTTCTTTATTATGGTTATGATGGACATTTTGATAATGTGAACGAAACAAGAAGACAAATAAGTTTTATTTTCATTGAAGCAATAATTGAGCAACAGTTTTTTACCTTGTGAAATATAGTACGCATCATTAATGATGAGTTGCAGTAAAAAACAACTGTCCTCGTCGTCTTTAATTCCGAGCGATATGTATTGTGTCTCATAATTACTTTATAAATTATAAATTACTTAATTGGAGTTCGAATATAATTGAATATTGAAGTGAATATTGTGAATTTTAAAAATTAATCATACTACACTTGAATGAGTGCTTGACATATCAATATACAGCAAACAAGCAAAATTTTCATCTGTTGCCTAATTCTATGAGTTCTAAACTCCTTGGTATGATGTGGATGTTTATCTCTCATAGTATGTGTAGTATTCCAGTAGGTAACCGAAGCCTGATCATGTTCGCATCATTAGAAACACTATGATTGATCGGTGACATAAGTCTCATCAAATTCTTGCGTTTTAGAGTGGTTGAAATTATTGGAGTTGCTTGAATTCTGCTGTCTATAAAGGTTCCACGACTGAAGTTGCACTTTCGAGAGCTCAATGAGTTTAGAACTCATGGTATCCTGATACGCTTCTCAGTGAAGCCAATGTTATGGGGTGAGTGTGTAAGTCAGACTAGCAGAATGAATATATCAACACAAAAACACACTCATTGATACGGTAAACTTTAATTTATATTATGTCTATTGAAAATATGTATTACATAAAAAGAAATTTTGTTTTCAATTGGTATTCTAACTGGTAGTCTTTCATGAATTTCTACATCTCATAAAGAGATAATATATACATTTTGTTTGTTCACATTCAAGACTCCCACATTTTTCACATGCATTACAATGGCAACGAGAGCACTTTTATATTTGAATTGAAGACGATGAATATTATTGGCGATGTGTTCGCATCTCATCAAGAGCTTTTCGTCACTGTCAGTCTACGTTCTTCTATCACGTTGACGAGTTTGAATCAATAAATATTCACTAAAACTAATTCAGTACTGTTTATAAAACTTCATTTATATCTTCTCTCTCTGATCATTGATTCATAAGCATCTAATTTCGCGAAAATCTAGGCTAAACATGATTGGCATCACATTGAAAAGATTATTGTAGTCAAACGAATGTTCAAGAATTTGTTCGTTAGAATTTTCATTTTTTTTGTTTTGACAAGAACATTTTAAAGTTTGTTATGATAGAAATAGAGATTTCTCGAAAGCATTCTTAGTTTGGAAAATGTTGATATTGTGATCGTATGTGGTGGAAATATAGTGTGTATACAATGAAAATATGACTATACACTCTCATGTGAATTTGGTGGTAAAGCCGGTGTAATCAAGCGGTATATGAGCATCGTAAGAAAGCATCTTAACGATACAAATAAGATCGACTTTTTGCAATGATCTTCATTTGGGAAAAACCACGGCACGATATAAAATATTTCTCATCAGAGATCAATTTCAATTGTCAAATAGTGCTTAGTCAACACACTAAAATAAAATGAATCGTGATATATTGACTAATCATTTATTCAACGTTGTGTTTTCTCGCATACGGTGACCTATAACTCAGATAACGAAACATAACTGAATTTATGCATTGCTATCAGAAACACTTTATAAAAACCCGATTATTTCAAAATTATTATTTCTCAGTTCATTGATTTATCTCATTTAGCTTCTATCTTTTACTGTTTCTACTTTAAATCAAAAGACTCATCAAGCACTCAATACTATTGGAATGTCTGTCACTTGAACACGAAGACATTTTGAATATAAAAATATGCTTTATTCTTCAATAAAACCTGAAAATGTTGTAGCAAATAAAACACATTTAGAAAATATTCTGTTTAAAAAAAAAGAGGAAACAAAAAAGCTTACGACACTCGGTATTCCCAGGCGGTCACCCATCCAAGTACTAACCGAGCCCGACGTTGCTTAACTTCAGTGATCGGACGAGAACTGGTGTATTCAACGTGGTATGGCCGTAAGCAATCTTTGTATATAATTCTTGCAAATACATTCATTTGTTCTATAAAAGAAGTTTCTGTTTAATGTAAAATACGTACACAATCATTTTGATTTGATAATGAAACAAGAATTTTCCATGGTAATGGACATTTTTGAATATCAATTGGTAATTGAACGAATCTATTTGTTCGATGATGTTTTAATTGAATTTGTCTATTCTCACAATTTAATATTAGTGTTATCTCATCACCTATTTTTAAAATATTATCTTTCTTAACAGATTGTTCTTTACCATTAATAATGATCCGTTCAAGTCCCCACCAACCATAAATCGATGATGAGTCTAGAATCCATGGTACTATTTGTTGAGAAGTTGGCAAAATACCAAAAAATAAACTGTTCATAGTTATATTTTCAATTCGAAAACGAATTCGATGAATTCCTGCAGAATAAGAATTTTTACCATAAACACTTGAATAATGATAATAATTTTCAGAACATGTTGCTAGAAAATTTTTTTCTGAAAGTGTTACTGATCCAATAGTTTGATCAAATATTTCAGGAGTATATGAACATAATTCTCGTAATGACTCATTAAAATTTTCTTTTATTTTAATCAAACGAATTGATGATTGTATATTTTCATCTTCAATAATATCAATAGCAACAGGTTTTTCGATCAATCGACGAAGTTCTCTTATTTGTTCAGTCCATTTTTCAAGTTCAATCTCAGTAAAATCATTTGATTCTCGACTTGAACGTAAATTATCATGTATTTTATTCATCATAAGTTTTAATTGATTTCTATTTCTATCAATTATTTTTCGTAAAATAATTCGTGCAGTTTCAGCAGCTATTTGAATTTTAACAATTGATTCAAGTTCCCAAGTATTAATTTGAGTCAAAATAGGATGTATATTATTGTTTTCTTGATTTAAATCTCGTCGAAGAAAATCATGTTCTTGTCCAATATTGTCCATTTGTATGTTGAGATCCTCTCGATGGCTTAATATATGTTTTATACAAAAAGATTGTTGACATCCATAACACATTATAGTACCATTTCCTTTATCACATCTAATGCATGGTTTCTTGTCCGTTAATGATGTTGCCATGTTTTACACTAAAAAAACGAATTTACTAGCTTGCACTTCACTTCTAGATAGAAAGATAGGAATAACGACCACTATTATCATAAAAAAAGAATGAAGTATTTTTTTTCGTTCTTATTTGTTTTTCGTAGACTAGAAGCAAAAATAGAAGAGCATGAATATATTTGATAGCGACCAAAAACACCACAACAGAAAGATACGCTCTTTGGATGATGTCACGAATCATTGATAATAAAAAAAAATGCAATCAAAATGATTTGATTTTTCATGACAATATTTCAAAACTAAATGAAAAAACAGCGGCTTTGAAGTGTTTTTATTTCTATACAGAACGATGCTGTCTAATAGATTATATCCGGTTATCTTCTTATGTAAATAATTTGCTTCTCTTCCTACTTCATTGTCAATGTATGCTCACACAATAAAAGAAAATTATTAGCGACATCCGAAACTTCGCAGCATAGAATATGATCATTCGTACAGAAGGAAAAAATATGAAGAAGAAAAGAGATCGGAAAACATTGCATCAAGAAACAATCAACTAAATGATGTTATTTTATTTATTGATAAACTAAAATAAAAATGACTGACATCAATTTTATTAATTTTTTCATCACAATATTGAGCATATTTAAATTAGTCTATAGTTCAAATTTACCATCCGACTTAAGAAATGTTTCAGCTATTCTTAATGATTTATTAAAAACTTATGATCGTTATCATCGACCAACATATGGAGGTTTGCATCTGTTCTAATCATTTATCTTTATTGTTTTTGTATGATATCTTAAGGTAAACCTGATAAAGTTATTGTTGATATATATGTGCGTAGTATGAGTGGTATAAGTGAACTTGATATGGAATATTCATTTGATTGTTTTTTTCGACAACGATGGACTGATACTCGTCTTATTTATAATACAACATCAGCTATGAATTATAAATTATTACCAGTTAGTATACAAATGTTTTCAAAAATTTGGAAACCTGATACATATTTTTATAATGGTCGACGATCTTATATTCATTCAGTACCTCATGTTAATCGATTTTTCCGTATTGCAACTGATGGTACAATACTTTATTCACAACGGTTCAGATTTTTTTCAAAATTAGTTTTCTTCATTGTTTATAATTTATATTTGTAGTTTAACTATTCGAGCTTCATGTATAATGAATCTTCGAAATTTACCACTTGATACACAACATTGTACTTTATTAATTGGTAGTTTTGCTTATGATAGTGAAGAAACAATATATGAATGGAATCAGAAAAGTGCTGTTGATGTACAAAGTGATTTAATTATGAATCAATTTTCATTAATTGATGCAAGTGTGGGTACACAAATTCTGTTAAGAGACAATCGTAAGTTCATGATAATTCTATGAATATTAATATATATATATGTCATTAAAACTTTGTTTTTTCGTCAGAAGTTTTTCATAATCAGAATTGAAATATTTCACTTTATATATTATAAAACATTTTCATAAAAAATCTTGTCAGATCCTTCATGTAAAACGATTCGAGAGTACAAAGAGCTGTTAATGAATAATCTTCTCTAGTTTACAGGTTTATATCTTCTGCATATTCTGAAGGTGTTTAGTATTGTTCGATGACTTTTCATACTTTCAGATTTATTTAAGAGTTGCCGAGTGTATTCTTTCCTGAGATGAATATTAGTATCTTACAACAGTACGGGTCAAAATGTCAGTATAGTTATTCTATTTATAAGTATAGCCGAAATAGTGCCGCTAGTCTTTTTGCAAATGATTAATTTTGTAAGGTTTGTGATTAAGATATCTGAAAAGGTGGCAAGTACCAAAAATTAGGTTTTCATAAAGTTAAATTCAAGTTTATTGGTACGTGTCTAAAAAATCAAAGCAGACTGCTAGACACTGTTTTACTGAAAATTCATGCTACTAAATGCTACAGAGTGTACCAACTTCTTATGGGGCTTCGAATTTTTAGAAAATTTAATGAAAGAAACTTGAGCTTGTGTGGAAATCCATATAACTCCATGTACTTTTCTCGTTAGCGAAGTAATTGAAGGAACTGAGTCTTTCTGACAGATGCTAAAGAATTGCTTATCCGTTGATATGTTGACTAATCATTTATAGTACTAGAATATAAATCAATGACCTTCTATTGGGTTTTTTTTTCATTTCTATTTTGACTAAAAGAATTTCTCGAAATCATGAATTCTTGACAACGACTTTTTAAGAATTAATAATACTTAGAATTGTTGTTAATTTGAATGTTGAATAATTTTGTAACTCAAAACATTGAAAATCAGACACATATTTATATAATTCTATATGCAAATTAAACTTTCATATTTTCAATAGTTCAAAACATAATGTGTCACATTTGCTATATTATTCCTACGATTGAGACCAAAAATATTTCTGAAAAGTTAGTCTAATATATTTTTATAGGAACTCGATCGACCATATACGTTGTATTTGCACTTCGTCGTCATGTGGGTTATTTTTTAATTCAATTATATATACCATGTGTACTTATTGTATTTTTATCATGGGTTGGTCTTTGGTTAAATCGTGAAGCAACAAATGATCGTATTAATTTAGGTATAAATTCTTTTTTTCTTTCTGTTTTGTTTTTTGATCACATATGTTTTTTTTTCATTCAGGTGTAACAACAGTTTTAACACTTATATTTGTTATGATTGAAGGAAAAAAAGATCTACCAAAAGTTTCATATATTACAGCACTTGATTGTTTTCTAGCCGTTTGTTTTATTTTTGTGTTTTCAACATTATTCGAATTTGCACTTGTTCATTATCACACAAAAGCACGAACAGGTGATCTTAATGAAAATATGCGTGAATTAGAAGATTATATAATTCGAGTATGAAATCTAATTTTTATATGAAAATATTTTTTTTTTGTATTTATTTTCTATTTGTATAGAATGATGATTCAGATCCAAATGATAATGATTTTACTAGTAGTGATATTCATTTAGTTTATCGATCTTCAACAAAAAGAAAATCATCATCGAAAAGGATAACATCAAAAAAAAGTTTAAAAAAAGATTGTCAAAATTTCTATTGTAAACCAGCATATTCAGCATTTCAAGGACGAGCTTTAAAAAATATTTTTTATAAGAATAGTGTAAGTGAAATTGATATTATTGCAAGAATTCTTTATCCATTAACATTTTTTATATTTAATTTAATTTATTGGACTTATTATTTATATGCTAGTCAACAACAATCAAAAAGAGAAATGAAATGAAAGAAATATAAAAATATTGACTTTCAATTTATTGTATTATAATAAATTAAATAAAGAAATAATTTAAATAGTATTCAAATATTTTGAACTGTGTTTTAATGTATTTTTATTTAGAAAAAACTGAACATATTAATAAATAAATGAAAAAATTACAATTTCTTTCTTTTACTACAAAAGCGAATTAGAGAGACATATCATACAAAAATTAATAGCATTGATATTGAATGTATAAAAAGTTTAATGTTAATTCACATTGTATTATAAAAGATTCAAAAACATATTTTTAAATATATTTGAAAGATATAGTGATGTTCAGGAAAAGTGATACACATGAAATGATTAGTAGAATTAGTACTCATTTTGAAAAATGTAAAATATACTTTTCGAAACGACTACTAACATCTAACCAAGCTCGTTCTAGACTTTTCAATTTATGATAAGTTGATTAATCTCTGGTTCTAACATGCATATGCTTATTTATTAATTTGTGCTAATTGACACGAGCAAAGAAATATATTTTTCTAACGATAAGATCTAATGTTTGTGCGAGAGTTAAAGAGCAGTGGACGTTATCTTAATAATTCAACAACAGAGACAACTAGACCACCTGTACTTTTCAGCAATCGAAGGGGAGGAATTTAGAACGTTTTTCTGCGATAATATATAAGACAAAATAATTTTAAAATTCATCATCTGTGCAAAAGTTTTTAAAAAATGCATGGCAACTGTGGTTACTTTCAAGTCGATTTTGACTTTGGTACTGCTTCAGATAGATGGACCTAGACTCATAGTTAAAGGTATGACTCAAATGATTATCTTCACATGTCTCAGTATTGAGCAAACAAAATTGTGTATCTATTCGGTCAAATTATATAGAAATCTGTTGATATTCACCAAGTGTTCTGTCTTTTCGTCAAACTTTATTGAAACGAAGCACAATTTTCATGTGTTTTCTAGTTATGGTTGTGGATGTTTTCTGTTTGTTCATAGTGTCTGTTGTATTTGATCAATAAAAAAATAAAAAGAAAATGACTTGAATATATACAATATGTTGGAATTTTTTGCTAGATATTTGTATTTGTTTTCGAATGTTATTCATGCTGAAGTTGATTTTTTTCTTTTCGTTTCACTTGAGTGCCTCACTTCTCTTTTTATCTGTGATTGTATGTAGTGGCATAAGGCAGCAAGCAAACAGAAAGAATGATTCATTGCAACATGATTATCATACTCTGTGTCGTATTTCACTTTTTCTTTATCGTTAAATTAATGCTGATGATGTTTTACGTAGAAATAAACAAATACAATGCATATTGTTACTTGAAAATGCATGGCAAATTCTTGTTTCAGTAGACTCTTTCTTGTCCATGGAGAGTTTATTAACATATGAAGTCAATGAAAGTATAGGTAGAAAGTTGGTATCGTTTTTAATTAAGAGTTCTTTTTGTCGTTGAATAAAAAACCAATCCATTCTTACATAAAATTTGATATGTTTATTCTCATCTATGTTCTCATATTACTCTCAAGGAAAACTAAATGAAACTATCATTATTAGTTTGTTTTTAAAACGAGACATAAGATCCATGATATTTTTCTATCGCTAGTTGATTATGGTATTGAAAAATATATACAGTTTCAAAATTAGTTCATACTGTATATTCACTTGAAATCCAAAATAGACTAATCGTTTATGAGATTAGAGAACTTTCGAAATAGATGAGATGTCACATTCAGCGAAAACATGT